AAATGCTTATTTGTACATTTTCTTAAGTTTTGTTGGACGCGATTAAGTAGACATTGAGGAATAGAATAAAAATAGTTGATAAAAAACAATTCTACTCCATAGTCCATAGACCCGTACAATAACTAATTTTTGCTTAATTTGTAAGTGTTGGCCTATAGTTTAGTTATTAGTTTTTTTATCTTTTAGTATTTTAAAAATATATAAAATATATTAATTATTTATTTTAATTAATATTTTATAAATTTTTATAATAATTAAAAAATATAAAATGAAAAACTAAAACACTAAAACGAATTGTCAAATCAGACCTTAGAATACAGTAAGAAATAGTCACCACAACAATTAAAGCATATATAAACATGTTATCTCTCATGAGAAAACACTATTTTTTAGCATTTAAATTACTTATAAACACTTTAAAAACTAAAAAAACAACAATTTTCCTGAAGAACCTTTGCAAACTCAAAGAGAGTATAGTGCTAATAAGCAACCTGCCAACCTCATGAAAACGCACTGCCAAACACATCTAAATGAGGCATAAATAAAATGGGGAAAAAAGAGCAAAGCAAGAATAGAAAAGGTTATATAGCAAATTGGGTCTCTCAACTTTAGCTTTTGCACTAATTTCATCCCTCTCTTTTTTTATGCATTTTTTGAGTCCCTTAACTATAAAAAATGTACTTTTAAGTTATTTCATCACTTAATTTATTAAATTTGTCTATATATATACATTTTGTCTTTAGAATTTTCAATTGAGGAATGAAAATGTGCAATTATTATAAATTAAAAAACTAAAAATGTGCATATTCAATCAGATTTAATGAATTAACTGATAAAAAAACTACAAAAATACATTTTCATAATTGAGAGACAAAAAAGTTGCATAAAAAAAATTAAGAGATGAAAATTATACAAAACTTTAAAGTTCAAGGACAAAATCAACATTTAACTAATGGAAAAAAAAAAATTTAAAGAAGGGATAATTAGTAGTTTATGGATCAGATTGGGTAAGCCCAACCCGAAATTGAACCCATGGATTTGGATTGAATTTGATTGCTTTCATAAAAACAAGTGAAATATCTGCGCTACGCACCGGCATTTACTACTACTATTAAATTGACAATTCAATTATAATTGATAGTGTTAGTTCATCGATTTTATAATGATGAAATTATGGATATATGCGTTACACCATGTTCTGTATGTTGTATAGGTAACCATTAAACTTGACTGCCGAATGAGATTCCTCTAGACCATCAACAACCTATTTTTCTTTGTTAGATATGCCGCTTGCGATTTCATTTATAGAATCCAATGCATATGCAGTTAAGTCTTGAAGCTACAATTTTGGCGTCTAACAGATACCTGCACCACAGGTTTTAATAAATTAAATTATAAACTAAAATGTGAATGGATAGATTGATCCATGGTTTCCATGAATACACATTCTAACAAACAAATGCAACTTCGGCTTTTCTAAATAAATAAATAAATAAAATGCAGTTTTGAATTAGACATTTCTCTTCAGCCTTTTTTTTTTTTTTTTTTGAAATAAATGGAAAGTACAATGTCAAAGAGATATTTGGGTATCGAAAGCAACATCTTGTACAGAATGATAAATTTAACACAGTTTTAAAAATCTGCTTTAAGATACACCATATTTTCCTAATTTCCTTTCAGTGATTTGGCTATGTGCGGGTTTTGGATCTTTCTATATATATCTTGCATTTATATATCAAAGTATTGTGTTGTGTGATTCAATCACTATGTATTTGAAAGCAAATGATAGCCACAAATAAAAATAAAGAGTAACATTGGATGAAATAAAGTTATATAAATGTTAATAATTATGTGCAAATAGCTAAGCACATGTCGTTATTCAGTCTCCTTTCTAAATCTTTAAATCTCTTAACTCAAACTTATGAACAACCATTGTGTAATAACATCTTTCTCAAAAGTTTAATTTCATTGAAAAGTGGAAGTAACATGTTCTAAGCTTTTATATATTATGTATGTATTAGAATTTATTGAAACCCTTACCTAGAGAAGGTCTATCATATAGATACAGCATGTTGAAAAAGGTTAAACATGCTCCATTTACATCTATGTAATTTGAGGTGCCAATTACATGTGATAGAATATATAAGAAAATTTGGATGTAGATGATTAAGAAAAATGTTACCATTTCATTTGATATTTAATGTATAAAAATATATATTTATAGCGATAAATCCGAAACGGTATACAAAAAATTTCAGTGTCCAATATGTACCGTTTAAATAGCAAAATCAGTATATATATATACTGATACGATATTGACAACTTTGATTTTTATAATTAATTTATGTGTTTTCTTAAGAATACAAATAAAAAAAACCTTAATTTATTGGTCTCAACATACTAGTAAGTCAAATTGTCAAGTTGTCAAATTACTAAAGCTCTCGTTATTTAACACAAATAGAATGTAATTTATCTAAATCAAGTACCAATTGAGAAGAGGTTCCAAATTTTTTTTTTTAAAAAAAAAAAAAATTTAATTGACGACTGAGAACAAGAGATGAATGGAGAACAAAAGGAACAAAGTCTAGACAACGGACAGATGAATCTACCCATAATTTTTAGAAGGAATCTAGAAAGCTAATAATTGTAATCAAAATACTGTATGGAGCATTAACCACGTGACTGGGGGAGGACCTTGTTGCCGGACTGCTATGCATAGAAGTTCTTGACCGATTTCGTAGCTATGATAGAACATTCTGCTGTACGTTAGGCCCAAAACCTTCAATGAAAAAGTGTAGGCAAGTGCTAGCATGGATTATGTGCAAGCCCTGAATTTTTTTATTTCAAATTTTTAGAACCGGTAATTAATCAATTGCCCAAAGAGTTGTACTTGGTACCCAACCCGATCAGTACCAGATTTTATGATTTATTGACTAACTGTTGTAGCATGGAAAAGGGGCATTAGTAGTCCACCCACGATCTTGTGATTCCTTTCATTAGATTACAATAACTAGTTCTTGCATTGGCCTGTTGTGTTCTTTTCATAAAGCAGTATCTCTTTTGGCTAACACACGCAATGTACTTTCACTATCAGGAGATGTTCAAACATTGTGTTTCTTTATTGTAAATTAATGTGATTGTTTTTTCTTTTTGACCAGTGATTGTTATACTTTTCAATCCAATACACTTACATAACATTTATTAAAAAATTATTATTTTATAATATAAAATTAAAAATAAATAAATTTAAAAGTTTAATCATGCATGCAACATCCAAGAGCTGGTTGAACTAGTTGTTATTATATTATATTTTAAAGATTGAACTGAGCAAATGTCGAAAAATATATCAAACCGAAGATATACCAATCATTTTTTTTTTTTTTGTTGTATGGTTTACAACTTCTGCTATAGTGGGAAATATATATATATATATATATGCTATTTCTAGGCCTTGGATTCCATTTAGGTTTTAGTAAACATTGTCTAGAATTAGAAAACAAATAATTATCAGATTCATCAAGATTCTCTAACTCTTCCAAATCCACCTCAACCTCAAGATGAAGTGATGAAGATCTCAACCAATCTTGAGCATAGCTCAAACACTCTACTAGCCTCGAAGATAAACAACTATGAAATTGGTCAAGAACTCAACCTCCATAGCTAAAAGCAAACTCTGAAACAATAGTAGAAATAGGAATACTCAGAATATCTCTTGCCATCCTAGCAAGAACTCGATACTTGCTTCTATTGGACCTCCACCAAGTTAGGATATCAAAATCAAACCCCCATCTTTATCTCCTTAGTCTCTCCTCCAAGTAGCAGTCTAGCTTGAGTTGGAATCAACAATTTCTCGTTTTTCTTTTATGTAGCTCATCCATCCTTGATCCATCTTCCCAAAGGTATTCAAATTTGGTTGGTCAACTTTCATTTTTGCTACTTCATAAACTTTTATACTTTTGTGTGGACTTGTTTTCTTAGTCAACTTATAATGCTTAAACAACGACCTTTTCAAGGCATTTTCAAGCTTCTTCATTAGAGCATCAATTCTTGTCCCTACATTCAAGGTGTCAACAAAGCAATAACATGTGAAGCAAAACTTAACGTACTCTAATTTGTAATGAGGTTCTAACACCACAGCAATTAGCAAAAGCACATTCACTTTATCCATGCCTCCCCAATACTTGTTAAATTTCACTCTCATTTTAAAGCCCATTGATTGAAGATATGGTTCTAAACTATGAGCCTAATCATTTAATGTCCTCTGAATAGCACAAACTTGCATGAAATATGAATTGGAAGTGACATACAAAGTCCCAGATAGTTTCTTACTAACCTTATAAAGTTGCTCTAGAAATTTCACTAACACATTTGACTTTTTCCAATCTTCATTTGTAGAAATCTTATCCTCATGATTACAAAGAAATTATGGATCTTTCTCTTCTAGTCTCTCAAATGCCTTTGGGAATTTAATGGAAGCATTTAACATAAAGTAGGTGGAATTCCATCTAGCTGAAACATATAGACATACAAAACTTTTGCAACAAATATGCTCTTTATCAATATACAATTTAAATTTCTCAGCTCTACTTGGGGAACTTCTAACACACTTTACAACACCACGAATCTAACTTAATACTTCCTTTACCTCATTCAAACTGTCTTTGACAATTAAATTCAAAATATGTGCTACACATCTAACATGCAAGAACTCACCGTGAAATAAAATGCAATTCTTTTTACCAGGTTTATCTTTCAAATAAAGCACTGCAATATCATCTGAACTAGCATTATCAACTTATCAACTGTAAGTGTTTAAACATTTTCAATTTCCCCATTGAAGAAGACATGAAAAACCATTTTACCAATTTATTTACCTTTGTGACTAGAAATTGGACAAAAATTCAAGATTCTTTTATGCAACTTCCAAATATCATCAATGAAATGAGCCATAAGACAAGTAGGAAATGTTTTGCACTAAAGTCTAAATATTAGTGGTGAGACTAATTCTAGAATCTAGGTTGGATAAGGACCTTTTCAACTTTTCCTTTTCTGACATGAAGATTGCAAAACAATCTTTTATCATTGTGGTGCAAGAGTCTACTCTAAACTTAGGTTGCACAACATTCATGAAAAGTCGACAACCCTCATGCTCCACAAACTTAAGGGGCAACCCATCCATAATGCATCTTGGCCAAAGCAATTTGGAATTCTTCTTGGTTAAAGCTATCATTACCAGAATTAAAATATGTATCTTCTAATATACATGATGGGTGAGAAGATTGATCTTGTGTTTGAATCTTGTTATAAGGGTATTTAGGACATTTTATCAAATGATTCTTTAAGGTACTAGTGCCACTTAAACTGGTATGAGAATACTTCTCACCATAATAGATGCATCTAGTTTAATTTTACCTTCCTCTTCCTTATCATCAACAAAATGATCCCACACTTTTGATTTCTTCTTGGACCTTTTTTGGCTTGAACTTGTCGTCAAAACTTGAGATTCCCCACTTGCTGTACTCATGTTACTTGGGGAACTTCTAACACACTTCATAGCTTATGTTCACAGTTTTGCAGTCTTATGACTGCAAAATAGCTTCAATTTCATGGGAAGGAAATCTCACAAGGCTTAACTTACAATTAAGAAAATTAGAACAAACAAGTGTAAAAATTTATGCTAAAACAAGAAAAATCAACTCAAACCCTTTTATTGCTCTACAATTCAATTTTACCCAAAACCCAATCATGAAATTCCAACATTTAATCATTTAGTCAAGAAACCCACAAGAAAAAGAAAACTAAATCAACAATTTGTTGTAATCTAAACTGATGGAGAATACTTACCAATGGGAAAAAGCAAACTTTAGATTTCCTTCATTAGAGATTGATATGAGATGACAGGAGAAGAGATGAAGGAGATGAGAAATGTTGAAGGATATGAAAAAAAGAAGGATTGTTGGAGGAGATGATGGCTCCAATCAGTGGAAATGAGAGGAGAAGAGGAGGAATAAAGAAACTGAGTAGCAACACCACGATGGAGCTACTGCAGCTTCTAAAAATTTCTAATTATATTATGTTTAAAATTTTGATCTATGGTTTTTGGTTTACCATGGTTTTGATCCAACCCAAACCACTTACTATGGATTAATGGAAATCTAATCCAATATGGAACCAAACTTTGAAAAATCCAATCCAACCCAACAAATTGGATTGGGTTGGTCTCGATAAAATGGTATTGTAGCACACATCTATGTTATACATTCTTTATCTTGGCGCATAGCCAAACATACACAACAATACTATACAAGTGCTTTCCATGACAAATGGACAAAGGCATACTAGTATATCCTTACATCTTCCCCTTTGATGTATAAGAGAGGTTCGTAACTCTCTGTCTAGCCTAGCAATATTCAACATGGCTAGCAGTTATGAATAGAAAATTGCATACTAATACATCTTCAATAGTCTATCATGGGGAAGAAACATTATCAAGGCCTAGAAGGTCCACATGGATAGATTGCATCCACTACGAATTATTTACTTACTACATCACTTGGATGAAAGGTTCATCCTTTTTAGAATACTCTGTCTTGGATAGAAATTCTTCCTTAACATATTGGGTCCATTATGAGTACAACAACATATGTGTGCTCATTTCATCTTCATCATCATTCTATCATCTTTGGCAAAAGGAAGGGTCAACAAATCTTATTGGTCCAAACCTCCAGCTAGAACAAGGCCATGGAGTGCCTTCATCTTTACATTATTTTATCTCTTATACAGGAGGTCATTACTACTGTTTTTCATATTCCTCGAATAAAGGGTTACTGCTCTACTTCACATCATCATATTTCATTTGGATGGAGCAATCTACTATGAAGTCAACAGTTTGCAACTTATTAAAATGTCTCCACCACTACTCAAGCCATTTATCTTCCTTGGACAAGTTCTTAATGTCAAGTTACAAAATAAGATGAAGATTTGCAAATGCTTGCCTGATGAGCATGTACATGGGAGATTCAAAAAAATTTCACACAACTGGAGGATTACATTGCCAATACTGCTTTTCAGCGAAGTTGATGAATGTTCATCCTTAGCACTATGACTTCAACTACTTGCTCGACTTTCATCAAAATGCTATCTTCCCTAGAATTGGGTTGACAGATATTCCTAAGTATCAAGCTTCTCATCAACTCATTTTTATATTAAAATTTTCATGATAGAGCTCATGGACAACAATCAATAATTTCCAACCATGAAGACACAAAATAGACAAATGCTGAGCTACGTATCCACATGACAACAATGAGCTAATTTCTTCATTCCTAGGAGGTTCATTCATCTCTCCACTAGTGATATCTACTTTGGCTTTGAGTCAACCAAGCTACAAATGCACTATCTACAATGACATGGTTACGAACAATGCTTAACATTTTCATTCCTCGATGGAGGAAAATTCTTCATAAGCTCAACCAAGTTAATAAAGGAGAGCTTCACAACAATCATTCTTATTATCATCATCATCATTTCTACAACATAAGGATGGGCTTATCCTTTGGCAAAGCCAATCTTTCAAGTCTCGCAAAAACATGGCCACATCTCTGCAACTTGTCGCATGATGAAAAATATTGCTGAACAACATCAAATTCACCCATTATTTGGCAAAGTCTAGGCACATTTATTGACATCAACAATAAGTGTGAGGACTTGACAAGTCTTCCTACTTGGGGGCTAATGTTGATGCACGTTTATTATACAATTATAACATTATCCATTAATATTTTATTTAATTAACATAACCCTTTATTTATTTCATTTTTAAAAATTCCAAAACTCGTTCCCAAACCTTACGATTTTTCTTCGATATGAGCATTAAATATTTTGATCTCATGTTAAATTATAAAGTAGTTTTTAGTAATTGTACATTATATTATATTTTTTAAATTTTAATTAATAAATATTAAAATTAACCATATATTATTTATAGTACTTTTAACAAATAAATAACCAAAAGACTAATCACTTTCAATTATATTATAACACAACTTAATATAAACACAATTACAACAATCACAACACTTTATAACAATATTAAACTCACCTTAATCCCAAGGTTTGAACTATAATTTTCATTTATGATATTTCTTTATATGAGCATCTAATATTTGGCCACATGGCCTGTTAGATGTGAACACGATAACACTTTCTTGCAAATTGCAACGCTGTTGGACTTTAGACTTTAGAGACCTTCCGTGAGTTGTGACGCTTCGAACGTTGATCTATCGATGATCGCTCGTTAATCGACAGTCAGGGGGCGGTATTTTGATAAATCTCACGTGTGGTCACTGAATTTATCATTATTAACATTTTGGTCACACTTAACTGTAGAGTTCTTATTGATTTTAGTGCATTATTACTGGTATAATCATCACATCATTCTTTTATTATTATTATTATTATAAAAGAGTTAGGATCTATTTTTTATTATATTTATTAAAAATAATTAATTTTGTTATATGAAAAATTATAATAAATTTTAATTATTAAAAGTTTAAAAAAAAAGTAATTAAGACTTTATAAATAAAACATATAAAATTTGTGTATTCAATGAATTTTATTCTAATTAATATATATCTTTGGTTTTATTAAAAAAAAAAAAAAAGAATTGCGGAGGTAAAAGTGTAAAACAGCAACCGGGACTTGAGAGTTGTGTTAAAAGATACACATAGCAGTTTTTATATAGGCTTTAGGTAGGTAAATATAGAAATAAATAAATTACATTAAAATGTCTTAGATACAATTTACTTTTTTTTTTTATTATTAATCTCTTAATATATGAATGTTACAATAGTCCTTAAATAAATTTTTTTAAATTTCTTTTAATACATATTTCTCTATTCATAAGATTCAAATTTAAATATAAATATTTAAAAAAAAAAATAAATTTCTTCCACTTGAATCAATAAGTCATTGGTACAATTAATCTTTTAATCTCATAACTAAATTATATCAATAAAACTTGATTGAATTAATATTCATTAATTTAAAAGTCTTAATTTAAGATCAAAATCAGAAATTTAAACATTTATTATATCAAACACTTAACTCTCTAATATAAAAAATATATATATATATATATAACTAAATTATAATCAAGATATACTATTTGGCAAACAGTCATTAACCATTAATTTGATTGAATTTCCTAATTCCTTATCACGTCGACCTGTAGCCGGACTGCTTGCGCCACTGGGAAACGAGCGGGCTCAGACTGGCTCAGTTGTCCGACTCCCTCCGTCCTTTCCCAATTGTGCCCAAAACCTCTAATGATGGTTGTGCTTCTTCTAGCCATGCTCTGACGCTTTGTACAAGATGTTGAAGCCTGCATCTTTTAATAAGAAATTAGTTCAAAGAGTCCGCATGCATTAACTTTTTCACAAATAAGAAAAACATAAATTTCACTAGATAGAGGCAGAGACTTAACCAGTTCTAAACTTTCCAATTTACTTCTAAGCTGGACCATTTGGCCTGAATATTTAGACATTCCTTCCAGCAATGCATTCTTCGATCTATTTTCTTCCTCTAGTATCTTTATAGTCGACTTTAGTCCTTGCTTTCTTCCCTAAATGTATTATAACAAAATTCAAGACTTCAACAACCAAATCAAAACAAGCTTTGACAGTTTGAGACAAACTTACATGTAGCTTGTTGTATTTCTGCTTCAACTTGTCAAAATCATTTCCAAGCTCATCCAGTTTCTTTGATTTTGCTTCAAATCTCTGCTTCACCAAAGCATTTTCTTCTTCAAGTGACCTTTTTGCAGTGTTTAATAGTCCATTTTTCGCTTCACCTAGCTCCAAAAAGGTCTTCATTCGCTGTTCTTCTTCCTAAATCGTAGCATAACATTAAAATTCAAGACTTAACAATGAAATGAAAATAATCTTTCGTAGTTGAGGGCAAACTTACAAATTTCTTCAGATTGAATTCGCGAAACTTATTTTTAAGGTCATCCAGTTCCTTTTGGAGGTTTTTATTGTCAGCCTCGAGTGAGTCCATAGCAGACTTCATTTGTTGTTCATTTTCCTGAATACAATAGTAAATCAAAGAATCATAGAACAAAATAAAATAAAAGTAAGCTTCAGTTAGGGGCAAACTTACATATCGCTGATCGTAATTCTTCTTCAATAAGTCAACTTCCTTTGATTTATCTTCTAACTGTTGTTTCATCGAAACGTTTTCCTGTTTTAGTCGTTCATTTTCAGCCTCAAGTGTCTCAGCAGTGGACTTCAATCGCTTTTGGTCCTCCTAAATATATTCCATGTAAGTAGTCATCATACATCAAAATGCAAAAGTAATGTTTGGTTGGATGGAATTGTTGCTACATAGTTTTTTTTTTTTTTGAACAGCAAATGAAGAATCATTTATAAAAAAACTGAGTACAAGGGGTACTCAAACCCATACTACAAATACATAAATCAGCCCTTCAATGTTAATCCTATCTTTCATATCAATACTACTTTCCTCTACAATTAACTAAAAGACAAGCAGTAGGATCAATCATCCAATCCGAAAGACTGAAATAACACCTAGCTTTCCTTGCTTTAATCCAATCAAAAGATCTCAGTTGAATAAGCTCAAAAAGATTACTTTTGTTTACCTTTGAATCCTGAAAAACCTTTCCGTTTCGTGCCATCCATATAGTCCATGTAACTGTATTCCAAATGCAATCCCACCCTTCTGAAATGTGTGGCTTTGTAGTCCATGCCCCAAAATGTTGAAATGTTGTCCAGCAATCACTATGGAGTGTAAAGTTTGTTCTCCACCAGTGTGCACATGCTTTCCACAAACCTTTAGCTACTCTGCATTTTAAGAACAGATGGTCGGCATCCTCATTCTTTTCCTCGCATAAGACACATTTTCCATCTGCCATGTCTTTGATAATTCCCCTTCTGATCAGATTTAACTTAGTTGGAATTCTGTCCAGCAGTGTTTTCCAGTTAAATGCAGCCACTTTGCTAGGGACAGTGGGGTTCCAGACCCTTTTGAAAATCTTTTCTTCCTCTGGGTTCTTCCTTGGCATTGAAAGCCTTTGATAAGCTATTTTTGTCGAGTATTGGCCTTCCGTGCTAGGGCTCCATTCCCGTCTATTTGGGCATCCTGGTTTGATCTTCACTTCTTCAATCATCCTTTTGAGATCTCGAACTGCTTCTTCTTCCCACTCGAACAGATTTCGTCTCCAAGATAAATTCCATTTCCATGTGGTTCGATCCTCATTGCCCATTTCATGACATTCTTTTTCCTTTCCTGTTGACAAGAAATACAGTCTAGGAAATTTGTTAGCTAGACACTCCTCCCCGCACCATGAATCCCACCAGAATTTAACACCTCTCCCTTCCCCTATCCTGAGTCTAAAATCCTCCCACAACCATCTCGCATTTACTCCCTCCCCGGCTTTGAGTCTTCGGACGTCTCTCCACCATAACGATCCTATGTTCCTGCCATCCCGCACCCAGTCCATCCAGTGACCCCCTTCTGCTCCATATTTTCCTACGATGACACTCTTCCACAATCCCTCTTCCATATTTGCTAGCCGACTCAGCCATTTTCCCATCAATGCTACATTAAACTTCTCCAAGTCTTTTACTCCTAATCCTCCCTCCTCCTTTGCTCTACAAACCCTCTCCCAACTAACCCAATTGATTTTCTTTCCCTCTCCCTCCCCTCCCCTCCCCATAAAAAATTTCTACGAATTTTATCCAAAGAGTAAAGAATACCTTTGGGAAGTAGGTAGGCTGACATCTGGAACACCGGTAAGTTGGACAACACAGAGTTTATGAGCGCTATTCGGCCTCCCATTGATAAATCCCGGCCCTTCCAACTTGCAAGCTTCTTCTTGAACGAGTTCACTAATGGCTGCCACATTGATAGCTTTCTATGGTTCCCTCCAATTTGAATTCCCAGATACTTGACAGGAAGCTCTCCTTCTTTGCAGTGAAGAATGTACGCCATTTTCTTTTTCCACTCTTCCTCAACCCCGATACCCATTAACTGGCTTTTACCATAGTTAATCTTAAGGCCCGACGCTAGCTCAAAGGTTCTCAAGACGCACTTGATGACTTGGATGTTCTCCTTTGATGCTTCGCCAAAAAATATCGTGTCGTCTGCAAACTGGAGGTGGGATACCATCACCCCTATGTTTCCAATCCTCACTCCCTTGTAAAGATTCTTATCCACCGCGGATAACATTAAGCCGTTCAGACCCTCCGCTACTATTAAAAACAAGAAGGGAGATAAAGGGTCGCCTTGCCTTAACCCTTTACTAACTGGGAACTGCCTTGTTGGGCTTCCATTAATGAGGATTGATACTGTGCTCGATTGTAGACATTCCTTCATCCATTTTCTTCATTTGGCAGTAAACCCCATTCTCAACAACATATAATCAATAAAGTCCCAGCTTACCTTGTCATAAGCTTTTTCGAAGTCTACCTTGAATAGAAAGCTGTTTTTCTTCTTTCTCTTTACCTCCTCAATCACCTCATTAGCAATAATCACCCCATCCAGCAATTGTCTGCCCTTAATGAATGCCATTTGTTGCTCCCCGATGATCTTATCCAGTACTTTCCTCAGCCGGTTAGCTAACAACTTTGCCAGGATCTTGTACATGACTCCAATAAGCGAGATTGGTCTATAATCTTCAATTCTTTGGGGGTTTTCGACCTTCGGGATCAAGACTATGAAAGACGCATTTGCTCCTTTTTCCATCTTGCCTCTTTCATGAAATTCTTGAATATATCCAATAACCTCTTGCTTTATGTCCTCCCACATAGCCTTTATGAATTTGAAATTAAACTCGTCAGGCCTCGGGGATTTTGTTGACTCGCAATCCCACACTGCATTTTTAACTTCTTCCTTTGAGAACTTAGCCATAAGGGATTCATTATCCGTATGGGATATTTGTTTGAAGTTGATGCCATCCAACTTTGGTCTCAGCCAGTCATTTTCTGTGAACAGATCTTGAAAATACTTTGCCATGCCTTCTTTTAACTCCCCCACCTCCCGCAGCTGTTTCCCATTGACCTGGATGCTGTTTATCTCATTTCTTCTCCATCTGCCCTTCACACATTTGTGGTAAAACTTTGTGTTAGCATCCCCCTCTCTCAACCACATCTTCCTTGATTTCTGCTGCCAAATACTCTCCTTGATTCTCAAGTACTTCCACAGATCTAGGAAGCATCCTTTCCTTCTGTTGGAGTCTTCTTCCGATAGCTGGGCAATTTCTCCTTTCTCATCCAGAATAGCTATCATCTTTTCAGCTTCCTTTATCTTGCAATCTAATTCCGACATGTGGTTGCCACTCCACTCCTTCAAGGCTTTCTTAGTACTTTTCAGTTTCTCCTTTAGTCTGAATCCCTTTCTCCCCTCTTCCACTGAAGAATTCCAGGCCTTCTTTATCAGCTCCATGCATTCAGGTTGCTCCAACCACGCATCGAAGAATTTAAACGGCTTTGGTCCCCAGTCTACTTTTTCATTCTTCAGAACTAGCGGACAATGATCTGACACTGATCTGCCCAAGCCCCACTATTTCACATCACTCCATTTCTCAAGCCAATCAACAGAGATCAGAAATCTGTCAATTTTACAAATCTGTCAATTCTACTCATCTGTCGACCATTTGAGCTGTACCAAGTATACTTCCTGCCTATCAATGGTAAATCTATCAGCCCCGCATCATAAATAAAGCTGTTAAACTCATTCATCTCTATGGTTGGATCCTTACACCCCGCCCTCTCCTCTACCCTAGTAACAGCATTAAAATCGCCTCCTAAGCACCATCTTCCCTTCCTTCTGTTGATTAAGTTACCCAGCTCCTCCCACAACTCTCTTTTGCCCGCCAGTGTACATGGAGAGTATATGTTAACCAAATGAATCAGTATCTTCTCTTCTCCCCATACCCCAAACACTCCTATAAAAGAGCGCCCCTCAATTACCTCCTTCCTTTCAAACACCGATGAATCCCAGATACATAGAAGTCCTCTAGATAAGCCCTCTGAAGGTTTAAAAGTCCAATCAAAATTATCACTGCCCCACACTCCCCTGCATAATTTCCTATCTACAACTTCCAATTTAGTTTCCTGCACTGCTAAAAACTCTACTTTTTCTTTAGTCACCAACTCCTTTAAAATTCTTTTCTTCCCGACCCCTCCTAATCCCCTTATATTAAAGGTCAACAAAATCATTACTCTCAATGCTTACCTTCTTTGCTTCCTCGGTTTCCCAATGAACCATTTCTTCCTTTTTTTGTCTGTCTCTCCTCTCCATCTCTTCAATCCTTTGCACCATCGCCTCGTCCTTCTCTGTTGTTGCACCCAATTGTTTGGCTAAATCCCAAATCTCCTTGGCAAGGTGGCTGTGCATTTGTTCCTTCCAAGCCCTGTTACAGTTTTCTATGCCACTATCACCGATGGATTCCCCTGCTATCTCACCATTTGGACTGGCCAAAAACACCGACGTTAATCTTCCTTTCTTTGTTTTCCGGATCTGATCTGCACTACCTTCTTTTTTCTTTTTTCCCCGTTCAACACCCGCCTCCCCCTCCCTCCGGTAGACAGCACTACACAGCTTAACTTTCTTCTTCCTTTTTTGCAGACGTGCTATCGGCCCCTTCTGCTTCAGGATCTGCCTCTGCAACGCGTTGCCGTCGTGATCCCACTGCACCAAATCACTTCCTTCCACTTCGGAGGTTGACGCCTTGGTCCCCCTCGCTCCCATCTGCTTCGAGATCTGCTTCTGTTCTTCGTCACCTTCACGTTCCCACAAGCTCGACTCCCTCACTTCCTCCACGGAAGAAGTTACCTTGTCCCCCCTCGCCCCCTTCTGCTTTGACCTTTGCCTCTGCTCTTCTTCATCATCGGTCTCCCTCTGGACAGCTTTCCCTTCCTCATCTTCATAAATTACCGCCCTTGTCCCTTTGTCTTTATTCATCACTATTATTTTACCCAAAGATGGGCCTACTCCCCTTAGCCCTTGGCCCATTCCTTCATTGGATGACACTACATAACTTGGGCTGCTTCCTTGTGATTTGGGCTTGCACTTCAGCCTCCTTCTATGTTTCTCATTGCAGCCCACTTTTCCAACCACAATTTCCAAATTCCCCTGTTTTTGCACCGCCCTTTTCTCCGCTGCACTGATAAAATCTTCATTTGAATTTTGAACTCTAACGGAGCTCTCTGCCACAACTTCGATTAACCCTTTTTTGACTTGCAGATCTTGTGTCAGATACTTTCCATCAATCTCCCCTTTACTGTATGCCACCTCATCATCTTCCTCCTCTGGCGCAACATCTCTTTTTTTCTCTTGCTCCCACTCTGCTATTTTTTCCAGATCACTAACATCTCTATCACTATCCAGAGACCAAGATTCCTCATTTTCAGACTCACTTTGAAAAGTTGGCATGAAGTCCTGTTTCAAGGAGAAGAAGCTATTGGTGAACTCCTCCTCCGTGAATTTAACATTGTACATGGACCCATTTATTCTAATCTGTCTCGAGACTGATATAGTATTCATGATCCGTGTTGAGAGTAAGAATCTAGCTACATCAAATCTTCTTTTTTGACTTGTGTTGTCATCCAAACAGATGAATTTTCCCCAAGAGCTACCCATTTTTGCAAAAAAATCTGTCCCCCATACATTTAAGGGTGCTCCTTGGCACCTAATCCACACAAACCTTTCATCCGCCACCATTTCCGGTGACCATGGTTTCACTTCTGCAAACCATTGTCCTAACCACTCTGATGCCGACTCCACCAAATCCTTCAGCTCATTTTTGTCATCACAATCAAGTAACACCAATTTTCCCCCCATTGCTCGGATTCGACATGCAAAGTACCCTTCCATGTAAAATTTTTCCTGCAAATTTCGAACCAATTCCA